CCATTCGAGCCGTGCCAGGTCACGACCCCTCTTGCGCTTCACCTGGCGCTTGTGCCGCCGGGCGGCGGCACACATCTGGCGGTTGAGTGCAACAGCCAGGGTGAAGTCACGACGGCTCAGGGCCCGCCGTCTCCTCCGGCGGAGACGGGAAGTGAGCGGGTCCTTGCATGCCTGTCGCTGCCAGCCTGGCGATCGGGCAGGGCCCGCCTGCCGGACTGGCATACCAGCGGTATCTAGGGAGCTGGTCACTACCCCATCAAAGCTCATGCATGCTGCAGTGAGCTGCTCGATGGAGGTGGCGGCAGCGGCGGCGGTCGCCGCTGCCTCAAGTGCGGGTCTCGCCCCCCGCAGTGCATCCACAAATGCCGGGAGCAGCGAGGGGACAAAGCGGTACTCCGGACCGCACGGGTTCGGCCCCAGCCCCTCGGCGGGGCAGGGCCCTGCACCCGCAGCCTGGGAATCACCCGCTAGCTGCAGGCGCAGGGTGGCGTGGTCGAATCGATCTGTTGGGGGCTGCACCAGCAGCCTGCAAGCAGCAGGTCTCTTTGTGGTCATTGTACCCAAGCATAGGCCGCTGTTGCCTGGCCAGACAAGCCTGCACCACAGCAATGTCGGCAGCTGGTTTGCACCCTCGGGTTAACGCAGCGCACTATAAACCAGCATGGCACAACATGCACAGCAAGCCTCACAGCGAGAACTGACGCTTTGTATCCTTTGGAGGAATATGGACAGGGCCCTTGAGCTGATTCCTGGCAACATCCCTGCAATGTCACAAATATGCCAATTGGCCATGCACATACGCTTCTCAGCTCATCTTTCGCGCCGGGCAGCTCCCCAGGTTGTAGCAGCAACGGTGGGGGTCGCAGGCTCCCACAACTTACATGTAGTGAATTCCAGTCCAAACATTGGTAGCTAGCCAGGTGGAGGGGAGCGCCCCTGTGAATGCATTCCCAGATAGGTTCCTGAAAACAAAAAATGGGCACGGGCAGACTTGGCACATCTGTCAGAACTGGGTACAGCTTGAAATGATCAGGGTGTGGCAGCAGTGGCAGAAATGGTAACAGCGCCACCGCAGCAGCAGCTGCAGCAGCAGCAAAGCGGCAGCAGAAAGCTCACAAAGCACGTAACATAGTGAGCAAACCGCTAGTGGGCCAACTGGCTGGCAACGACCCGCTGAGCTTATTGTCAGCAAGGTTCCTGCGCAGACATAAAAAGGGCAATGACTTTACCCCGGTTGTGGCTGATGTTGGAATGGCAGGTTGCCTGCCTGCATGCTCACAACGAATGCAGGTGGAGGATACCGAAACCGTCCTGCGAGCCTCCCTTAGGGCTGCTCAAGGTGCCAGTGAGCTGATTGCTGGACAGGTCAACCATTCGCAGGTACCGCAGCCTGGTTGGGAGGGCAGCTGGGATTGCAGAAGGCACAGGACCAGTCAGGCGGTTATGATCGAGAATCCTGCACAGCGGGGTGAGAGGGCGTTTACTACAACGCAGACTAACCTGTCCTGTCTCAAACATAATGCAGTTCTGCACCCACCCCCCAAAGCCTGTCTGTCTGTTACACCCATAAGGAGCAAATGAATGCTACGGGCCCAGCTGTGGTGCAGCAGCTGGAAAGGTGAAGGCACCATACACAAACGGGGCCTTGGAACACGCCACCTCACTCACATGGTATCCAAGGACATCCGCCAGGGATGGTTGGAGCCCTCCGCCTGGCCCCACCAGCTGGCTGGCAGAGTACCGCTGAGCTGGTTGAATGCAGCGTCCAGCTGCTCCAGAACCGGGAAGGAGCAGGGCAGCTGGACCGGCAGCGTGCCGGCAAGCGAGTTGTTCCGAACGATCCTGCGGGGGAGATGCGATGCACACGCGTGCGGCGCATTTGGTGAGAGAACAGCTAGCATCCCAGGCTGCACCACACACCATGCATTGCAGTGTCTGTCCACCCCCAGCTCAGGCAACGTTGGCACTCGCATTTGTCTAAGGCGTGATGATGTGGGCGCAGCGATACCGTGCAGCGGCCAGGACTGGCAAGAGTCGTTGCCGGCGATGTGATAGGTCAGGTTGCACCCAGGCGGCAGGCCGCCGGTCAGACTGTTGTATGAGACATCCAAGCTGACAAGCCCGGGGAAGATGCTGCTGCAGCCCAGATTCAGAGGCAGGGTGCCGGACAGCTGATTGCGGCTCAGCCACAATAACTCCAGCCTGCCAAACTGTTGCCAGGCAGCAGGCAGGGTCCCTCTGCATGCAGGTAGGCAAGACCAAATATGTGATAGAGGCAGTGTGCAGGGCTGGCATGTGGCAGTCACTTTGCTACAGACCCACGCATAGACAACGCCAAACAAGGGTGTGCTGCTGCATGAACTTGCACAGAAGATGACAGGCACCCGCTGATGCAACGGACACATCACATGCAGCCTCATTTACCTGAGCTGGTTCGTGCGCAGATCAATGTGGGCTAATGAAGGCATCGTTTGTGCCCATCCAGCGGGCAACATGCCGCTCAGCTGGTTGTTGCTGAGCTGGCTGCACAGCAAGGCACAGCAGGCAGGCAAGAAGAAAACTGGTGGACAGGGCAGCTCAAAGATAAATGGTGTGCCATCAGGCAGCAGTCAGCATGTTGTGCAACAGCGATCATACAGCTCGAAGTGATGCTCACTACCCTGAGGCAAGGCCATCCGGCACAGCGCGCGCAGCTGGCTGGCCCAAGGGCTTTACTTACATCTTTTCTACCATCGCGCCGGCCCAGCTTGACGGCAGCGTCCCTGTCAAGCGGTTGTCTGAACAGTCGAGACGGGCAAGCCTCGGCAGAGAGCTTGGCACAAGCGGCGGCAGGCTGCCGGTGAACGCGTTGGTCCCAAGCTCCAACGATTGCAGGGATGGGAATGCGCCGGAACTAAACCAGGTAGACGGCAGGCTG